CAGTGACTTTAACTTAAACACAATTCTCAACGAATGATTCACGCATTTTCCTTACTACCGCGCTTGACTCAATTGTCGGTCTATATCTTCAATCTCTCTGTCTGTTATTCCAATTCCGTTTAATTGTCTGGCGCACTTATATACAAGAATAGAGGGCGCCTAGAAAGTACTGTATTATTGGTGATGTTCCCGATCTTTCTAGAACTCATTACGTGTTACCAGAGTCACGTGACTTCCGCTGTCGTAACACCATAGTTAAAAGTATGGAGAACATCACTTCCAAACATTTCAAAATCAACACGGTGATGGCGCTAGAAGAAAACAGAAGCAAGATGTAAATAGGTCGGGTTGAGTGTGGCCTGGTGATCAACCTACCAGAGTGGTAGATTCGCACTTTGAGGCCGCAAATGAGCTATAAGAGTAACAGTCAACTAACAATTTTCAATTAGAAGAGCTCAAAAGTTGGTGATTGTGGGTGTTGATTCTGTTTTCTCTCTCATCTATCAGCGCATATAATTTTTGTGTAGCTTTGAGGGAATGAATATCCGAAATAAACCAAACTAAAAGTACCACAACTCTATGTTTGTTTGTTTTAGAGCAAAGCCTGTTTGGGCTTTTTTCTGTTTCCACAGTGGGGAATCGATCCCCGCCCTTTTGCGTTATAAGTCCATAAACTCACTGCTCTTCTACCAGGGGACACCACAAACTCTAAGAGAGAAATCGAGAGCTTAAACAGTAAACACTGACTGTGAAAATAAGAACTCAAACTATTTTTCTTATAATAATAATAATAAGTTTTTTCTTTTTATATAAGATTTGAATAAATTGTAGGGCCTTGCTTACGTAGTAGAAAATAAATATTGTTGCGTCATCGAGTCACATGACTACTGTGACGCAACGTTTCTAGAACTATCATGTACTTTGGCGAAAGTTCTAGTTCTTACTAGATATAGGGTAGGCTGGTATATAAAAGAGGGGAAGGTAATGTGTGTATAGATAGTGAGTAATTGAACTGCAGTCAGAAGTATTGTTGACGTTCGTTGATTAGCGTTTGTTTTAGCGCGATTGTTGAAGTTGAGTGTATCGGTAAAGTTATATTCGGAAAGAATAAACCAGTTTTATTAAGTAAAAGTTAAGTTTCGTCGGAACGAAGTTACGGAAAAGTCAATTAACAAACAGAGACGTAACAATATAATGTAGAAAAATTCTTAACAAAGAAGTAACAGTAACTCTTATAGTAGAAGTACATTTGAAATTGTTAAATAATTGAATCTCTTTGCCATTGATGTTCTTCAAAACAAAATAATGTAATATCGGGTTAAAACCAACACTTCTAGCCGTTTTTCAAATCTTTCAATTTTTATTCCAAGTTAGTTTATCACAGAATGATTTTATTTGTAATTAAGCATAAAGCTATAGACTATCTGTGCTCTGCCAACCAAGGGTTTCGAAACCCTGTTTCTGCTGTTGTAAGTCCGCAGACATGCCGCTGTGCCAATGGGGGACCCGTAGGGTGAAGAGAAAGGTCTGTTTGTGAACACTCCAGATTTTCACCTTTATTCCTGCCATTTTATTCATTTTCATTTAGTTTACCATAATTACGACAGAGGTCCTTGTAGTGTTATTAGAGTTACCTCTTTTGCCTGAGATGGGGAAGTATTTGTGGTGTAAACTTTGAAAACATTTCGGATTTGTATGTGAATTTCGGAAGCTTATGAAATAATGTAAGGAAAATTAAGTTTAAATATTTTTAACTTCAATTTTAAAATAATAATGGTTTGCGTGTGTTACTGTTGTAGTAATCCCGTTTTAAACTTTTAATTTAAGGTCTTTGGTGTTGCTATTGCTAATGTCGTAATGTCTTAGGAAGGACATTGAAATTTGAATTGTTCGAAATGGTTCAAAGGAGGGTCACTAGAAATTAGAATGATGCCTGGGATGGAGGGTTTGTCATATGAGGAGAGATTAAGATCTTTGAATTTGTTTTCTCATGAAAACGAAGAGTTAGAGAGGATCTGATTGAGGTGTTTAAGATTGCAAAGGAAATAGTGTTGATATGTCATATTTTTTCATATAATATAACAGCAAGAAAAGTAGGACCAGGGGACACAGATATAACCTTGTCTGTAGCAAGGTAGGAGTCATCTTCAGCTTAGACAGTTTTATTTTTCTAACAGGGTGGTTGGTCTCTGGAATGGGTTGCCTTCAGATGTTGTGGAAGCAGTAAATTTAATTGAGTGTAAGAGAAAGCTTGATAGCTATATGAATGATAAGGGCTGGCTTTAAGATTTTGTTTTTAATACTTTTAGTTTAGAGGATGGGACAGCCAAGATGGATCAATAGGTCCCTTGTTGTCCCTGAACATTATATTATATTTTATGTATTAGTGTTACTACTACTAGTAGTAGCATTACTATAAGTATTACTAGTAGTAAAACTGAAACTTTCAGTGAAAGAAAGATAGTATTAATAGTAATTAGTATTACTTGGTTCTACTAGTACAGCTAAGTTGCTTAGTTACCACCATTTTGCTTTTTAGCACTAACTTATTACTTGGGATATTACTGTTAATATTAAATTATAATAAATACTAGTCTACAGTGTGATTTACTGACTAAATTTATTAAATTTAATGTTATTGTTAGAACTTGTTATACTTGAATAAAAGTCTAATTTCATAGTTAAATTTTATCTAAAAATAGACACCAGATATCTTAGGAATGAAAATAATGTCATAATTGATAAAAATAAGTTTAACAGAGAAAGAATACACACGTACAAAAAGAACAAAATTACATATTTTGGAAAAAGTTCCATAATGAGATGCCACTATTAGTTAGGAGAAAGTGTTACAATACCAATAAAATACATATAAAAAATTGATATTGCCAACAGAACTCATTGAGTACTTAACAAAAAGAGATAGTTTTTTTTTTTGGGGGGGGGTACAAAATGATGGAGGTTAAATGAAAATAGGTTGAAAGTAAAAGAAAAACATCAAAAATAAATAAGAAAATGGACATTTTGAGTTCAGAAGGCACAAAATAATGTTTCTTCACTGGTACAAAATCAAACACTTTGAAATGGGAATCATAGTATCCTCACCAAAGCCATCCAAATCTAAGATTTTTATGACACTGGGAAACTTAAATTTCCCAACTATGGTCCAAACAGTGTTGTTAATGTAAATGTGGAATAGCCTCTCAGCATAGATTCATGGGGAATATCATTTGTAACATTAGTCCAGTTAGTTTGAACTCCATTAATATCTTTTTTGCTTCCTCCCAACCAGCCATCTTTCACTCATTTAACTAAATTATCCAGTACAATGACTGAGGTAATTTTCTCTCTAATTTTTGAAGTAGTATTTATATAAGAAACATCCTGAAAATTCGTGCAAACCAAATCAACTCCTTTAATTCCACATAAGAAGTAACATCCATAGGAAATAGCTAAGGCAGGATCTTCCCTTTGTTTGGCCAAGTTGGTTGTCTGAAGTTTTTTTATACTTCATCAAATGTCCATACAAAGTGTGTTTGTCAGAAACTTCTCACTTTTCTCAAAACATGAATATCTCAAAATTTCTTGGATAGTGCTTGTCTCTCCCTTTAAAAATTGGAGTAACATTAGCCTCTCTCCAGTTATATGGCTCTTGCCCCCCAGTTCAGTGCCATTGAAAGCAAACAGTTGAAAAATTAAGTTCTTACCTCTTTTAAAAATATTAGTTAAATGTTATCAGATCAAATTTTTTGTTGTCTTTTTCAAACAAGCTTTGTATTAACATACCTATTGTAAATTCCCCAAATATTTTCTCCAAGCAACTTCTCAGGGTTACAAATCAAACTTGCTATCTTTTAATTCTATAAATTGTAATGCAAAGACTTATTGTAAAAATTATGATAAATATTATGAAATCATTTATAGTTTGGTGCCATAATCAGCATACACTGTGAGAGAGAGAGAGTGTCATTCAACAGTAACAGGCATTTGGGGAAAGAGTCCTGATACTGAAAGTCAGATTGTTACTCTTAGGTAGGTGAATGTCATAAAGATAAAAGTAAAACCTCATACTGTATACTACCAATTCTGACTTGTAAGATTCTGTTTAGATATGGCTAAATTAGGGAAACCTCTTTTTCTTTGATAATGTATTTTAAACTTGTAATATTTAATGGTGAAGCAAGTTCAAAGTAATTTTTTTTTTTAATTAACATAAAAACATTAGTTTTTTGCTGTACTAGCTGTACGTTCCTGCTATGTGACTGTAGTTAAACAGTAACATGTCATAGTAACTTATCTCTATTATCAATCTGTTCTGAAGTTGCATTGTCAGATGCCTTTAAACATGACAGTATGTGAAGTATACCAGTAGTGTTTATGTTCATTAAATTACATGTATTTTAATGTTATTTTTATAAACAGTAGTGGTTAGAATACTAATTATATCTATTGTCATTATTTAAATTTATCATTATTATTATTATTCATTTTATGAGGATTATTTTGTGTTATTAGCATACTAACTGGAATTGTTTCAGCTGGCTGAACTTCATGAGATATTATTCGGATTATGACCAAAATTATCTCTAACAACAAGAATACCCAGTTGATAAAACTGTGTATTCTAATCATTATATGTAAGAACATTAAATTAGCTAAAATCATCACTGTGTTGATTTTGAATTATGTGTAAGGAACTTTCTTTGATCAAAAGACTAACTTTCCAATATGCAGGACAAAGAAAACAACATTACACTTAACTACCAACTACAAGTGTACATCATATTTTTAAAAGTTTGACTGTTATTGTAATGATTCAGCATTACATGTCGTAATTAATATCAGTCAACATATGCTCTTTAATGCTACTTTATATACCAGATTTCCAGAAAGTATTTGAAGGTTATTCTCGTTCATTCATTTTAAGATGTTGATTGTCTGTTGCAGTTCTTTATGTTTGGTGGATGTCACCACACTGATGCTTAAAAGCACAGGTAAAATGAGTTTTGTGAGGGCTTGTCAGAGCTCTCATTAAGTCTGTCATGATGCCTGAAATTTGGGTCCATTACTGGTCCTTTTGTTCTAACCATGAAATAAATACTTCTGAATTTGGATCCTGTTATTATGTGTCATGGCTTTAGCCATGCAATCAACTTTTCTTTATGTACACAGACAACTTTGTGTGACCTTGTTGGCTGCTATGACTTTGATAATTTAATTGTAATTGGCCTAGACAAGCAATGTTACTTACGTAGTAATATGACATTTTTTAACTATTTTGTTGCATGTAGACATCAAATATTTGTAAGTGAGGAACTAAGTCAATGTTTCAAGGTTTAATTACAAAACTAGATATTAATTATTATCAAATTTAGACTAGCAAGAAAAGTTTTAGCAAATTTGATTGTGCTATGCTACAGTTGATGAACTATTTTCTGCATAACATGAGGCTGCAAGGGCTGCCATATTGATTGGAAATTGTCATAGTTCAATGGCATGCTGTGAATATGTTTCAGTTTAGTCAGTCGAACTTTGTTTTATTGATAGAAATGCACTAGACTTCAGTCAATACAACTTAACTTTTATTGTCCAATTCCGTAAACAAAAAATCAAGATACAGCATCAGCCTCCTAACAGCCCCTATGGACTGTTTGGTGGGGAGCTGTTTACAGCCCTTGTGCATTTTTTTTTTTTTAATATGAAGGACTGTTATCCGGTGTACTTGGTTAAGTCAACACTTGCTGTATGTTCTTTAATGATTTTAGGATGATTTACATGTTTTTTTCATTTACTGTGAATGTGAAATTAGAAATACTAAATTATAAGTAGTTATCAGGTTGGTTCTTATTTGGAGGTAAAATTTCAGGTTAAAAATTCTAAAGTTCTCACTCCCTAATTTTGTTCCAATGTACAAAAAAAAAACATTAAATGTCAAAGTTCATAAATTTTATACCATATTTAGAGGTTGCTCAATGAGGATGAAGTTCTAGACTGCAGTGGCCTGGTTGGAAAGGTATGTACTATGTGATATAAAAACATATTTGTTATGCACTATAAATGATTTATTTAAAGTATATTATTATTTTCATAAGGTTTTGGTGTGGTTATTTACTTTTGCATTGTTTTTGTATTCTCTTTTTGGGATTAGGAAAGAGTCTTCTATAATCCTGCATAACTTGAAGGAACAATTTTTTCTGTTTTTTTTTTCTTTGTTATGATGGAATTATACTTCTCATTAATGGCCACATCCCTTTCAGTATTGTCATTTACTACATTTAAGTGTTGAACTCTTCTATAATTCTGCACAACTTAAAGGAATATTTTTTTCTGTTTTTTCTTTGTTATGGTGGCATTATACTTTTCAATAAGGACCACACTCTTTTCAACATTCTCATTTACTACATTCAGGTGTTGAACTATTTTCCAATGCCTCCCTGTGGTCCTCTCTGAACTCCTATAACTCTGGGTCATAATCCAGAAATCCAGATGGAATTTCGAGGCACCTGAAGAAGTCTGTTGTGTACCTGATATTCAGCTGGATGCACTTTGGAGGTTGTTCATCCATGCCTTCCTTCTCATTTGGTACATTTACCATTACTCATTTTGTCTCTGTGGTTATCACTAAATCAAAGAATGCTAAAATAAAGAGTTCCTCGCTGAGATACCATCGATGCCCAACAAATTTTTGACAGGCAGATTTTGAAAGAGAAGAATTCACTTTCTTATACTAAACAAGACACTGTAGGAAGTTAAGATCATTGCAAAGAGCAGAAATGGCATTGAGAACAGTGACTCATGACCTAAGATTGCCTGAAACAACAAAGATACAGATGTCATGGCCAGTGAACTTGAAACATAAACATTCAAATTTTGAGGGCATATAATACCTTGGCCATCCATTGTGCATGATGCAATGCTCCAGGTGCTTTAAGTTGCACTCCATCAAAAGGGATGCCACCATGAAAGGTTACGGCTAGTTCAAGAAGCTCCTGATAATTGTCTCTTGTTTGGCTGACCTGAAATGGTCTTACAGCAAACTCAATGACACTGTGGCTTTTGCTATTTCATCATGGTCAGCTGCAGTGTCATAACTGTACTGGTTCATGCATTCCCAAGATTGGTGGAATCAATTGAAAATTGCAGTAACTGGACCAGTGGAAAGCCCCATATAGTATGATACCCGCATACCAAATACATTCTTGTTTAATCTTTGTTCTAACAGCACACATGCTCTATTTCTGTGACGAGTGTTGCTTGCTGTTATATCAGAGCAAACTGCCTTTATATGATCAATGATCCCACTCGTCCAGCATCAGTGCCACAGAGAAGCTTGAGCTTTTTCAGTGATCATAAATCAACTTTAGAACACCTAGGAATTGGTTTGTTCTTGCTCCAGACAGAATCATTGGCAGAAGATAGATCCACATACTCTTCCCCTGCAAGATCGTGAAGAAGCTTGCTATCCCAGTGAACTACATGTGAGAATGTTGGCTGGAGCTGTTCCTTTAAGTTTTTCTTAAGTTCTTTATGGAAGTGATGTCAAGATCTTTGGATCAAAGAAAGGTTGATGGTTAGTTCCTGCACATCTGTTGCTCTTCTGTCACTCAACTTGGTTCTAGCTATAGCTGCTGCTAAACTGGGAGTGATAATATTTCTTTTTGACCACTTTTTAGGTTTAGTAGAAGATGATGATTCTTCAATTACTCCTCTTTCCTCTTCATTGTTATTGATACTGTATCTACCAGCCTCATTATCACTGCTGTGGGATGATTCTCAACATCTAACAATTTCAGTAAAGGTCTGCAGTTCCTGCTCTGCATGCTATTCGTTATCCATACTTTCCTTGTCTTCTAGGATCTTGATTAGGGTCAGAACATCTAATAGTGATGTCAAAAGGTCATCTGGATTATTAACAAACTTTGCTTTATTAGCTCACTTGTTTCAGTTTTCTTTTTTGAATTTTTTTAACATAATGGATAAAAGCTATAGCATATAAAAATATCCATTTAATAAATATTATGAACATAGTTTTAATAACTATAGAAATATAATTATTCAAAAGCTAAGATCAGGAAAAAATATTTTACAAATGAATTTTTAAGATAAAGGGATGTAAAAAAAAACAATGTGATTTTGTTAATAGGCTAATTAATAAATAAAATAAGGAAATAATATTACCTGATTGTGCAGATGGTGACTGAGAAAATGACAAAATTATAAAACAAATTGATAATGAACCATGTAAAAACATTTAATACAAATAGAAATATAATTTCATGTTTTTATTTCATACACATGATGAGGAAGTGAAAACTATAATTATGAGTAATAAAGTGGAAAAGGCAAGGTATGATGTAATTTTAGTAAGAATAATAAAAGAGTATAAATATATCCTAGAATCAAGACCAATTGTTCCATCTCAGCTGTCAATTCCTCTAAAATAAACTATTATAAATTTGAAAAAAAAAACATCTTAAAGCCGCCCTTTTCATTCATATACTTATCAAGCTTTTCTTAAACTCAATTAAATTTACTGCCTCTACAATATCTGAAGGTAACCCATTCCAAAGGCCAACCACCCTGTTCGAAAAATGAAACTGTCTTAGCTGAAGATGACTTCTCCCTTGCCAAAATTTATATTTGTGTCCCTTAGTCCTACTATTCTCACTATTAAATATGGAAAAAGATGATGCATCAACACTATCAATTCCCTTTACAATCTTTAACACCTCAATCAGATCCCCTCTAACTCTTCTTTTTTCAAGAGAAAACAATTTTAGAAATTTCAACCTCTCCTCGTACAATCTCTCCATCCCAGGCACCATTCTGGTAACCCTTCTCTGAACCCTTTCTAACAATTCAATGTCCTTCAAAGGTAAGGAGTCCAAGACTGAACACAATATTCCAAATGTGGCCTAACTAATGACCTGTATGATGAAAGTATAACCTCTTTAGACTTGTATATTCAATATTTCTATAGATATAACCAAAAATCCTATTTGCCCTACCACTAGCAACAGCACACTGCTTGGATGGCTTTAGAGATTGATCATCTGTTACACCAAGATCCCTTTCCTTCATAACACTGTTAAAGTTCCCATCCAAATTATGCTTATAATTCAAATTATTATACTCCATATGCATTATCTTGCAGTTATTATAATCAAAGCCCATCTGCCATTTATTTACCCAACTAACTAACTGATCTAAATCCTTTTGTAAATCAGCAGAATCCTCTTCACAGCTAGCAACACCCAAGACTTTAATATCATCTGCAAATTTAAGTAATTTATTGACTATTCCTTCATCTTTGTCATTGATGTAAATCAAAAATAGCAAAGGTCCTAAGACTGGGCCCTGAGGTACCCCACTTGTGGCATTAATCCAGTTTGACTGAACTCCATTTGTAACAACTCTCTGCTTTATTACATCCAGTCACTCTTCTATCCAATTTGCTAACTTATCCCCAATACCTATAGAGATATTTTTTTATACAAGCCTTTTATGTAGTACATTGACAAATGGTTCCTTAAAATCCAGATACACAAAGTCTACACCCTTATCCACATAAGCAGTAACCTTTTCAAAGAATATCAAAAGATTTGTAAGGCAAGATTTTCCCTTAGTGAAACCATGTTGACTATCCAATAAAAGTTTAAACTTTGTTAAATGACTTTGCAAGGCATCTTTTAACAGACTTTCCCACAACCAATGTAAGACTAATGGATCTATAATTACTGGGACAATTTTTATTACCTCCCTTGAAAAGAGGAGTGAATTTAGCTAATTTCCTCTGGTACCTGCCCACTATTTGAGGGCTGACAAAAAATAGTAGCAAGTGGCTCACATATCCAATATTTAACCTTATTCAAAACTTTTGGAGAAATACTATCTCTTGGATTATAAATGAAGAATATTTTTATTTAGAAAGCTATCACCTACAAAACAAAAGAATTAATACAGTCATATTGTTTGATCTCATTTCCATCTATCAACTATTCAAGATGTAGAATACTGCTTATATCTTTGTTAGTAAAAACTGAAGAAAAAGCAATATTTAATAACCCAGCCATCTTATAATCATCATTATAATGTGTCAACCACAGTACATCTGCTATATCCAGTGTTGATGAGACCCAATACTAGGGCTCTTCAGTCTAGGTGGGATACAACAAACACAGGTGTGGTCTGGGCACTACATACATCTTCAGTTTTCATGAATAACAGCTATTATGGTATAAACCAGATTAAGCAAGTGAATTGTAATTACTGTAATTTTTACTTGCATCATTTACAAACAAGATTTTTAGGGCAAGAATTCATAACACAACATTATTTATTTCATTTTATTTTTTGACACTGATTATTTATCTATTTTTATTATTTAGTTTGTTTGAGTAGTATTCACACATTAAACATCAGTTATAGGGAAAATTAGAGTTTTTAATGTGCTTAATGTCCATTACATAAACAAAATTTAATGTAATAAAATGAAAAAAACAACACATGCACACCACCAAAACATTATAAGTAGGTGTTCGTTCCATGCATTAGAATAGACCATTGTGATGGAGCACAGGGTGGTAAGGTTAACAGCAGCATTGTTTCAATAAAATGGACTAAATACCTAGTATACAAGACATAAGACATAATGAAATAATTATGGAATTTAAAATTTATGTAAACACTAATGATTTTAATGTTGAAAAAGGAGCACCAGTGTAACTCAACACACACCCTCCTCATGGTGTATGTTTAATTAATTAATGACATTGTTAAAACAAAATGTGGTTGACAAAAACAGTTTTTTTATAATTAATTGTTATAGTTGAAGATCCATGTTTATTTTTTAATCAAACTGTTAGTGTTCTGTGTTGATGTTTATTTATCTTTGTTTAATTAATCAACAATTGTACGTTAAAGAAAAAGATTTTTACTGTTAACCTGCTTGGCATGGTGACTATTAAATAAAGATTTGTTTTGCTTAAGTCAACTGAAATTATTTTAATTGGGTGCAATAGGGTGTTCTTGCAATGCAAGGTTACTGTATGTAGCTATATGAATATTGCATGTAGCAACAAACATGTACTTAAACAGTGTGATTTTTTTCAAAATTTAAAAACTTCCTTAGAACATAGTTTTAACTACATATGAATGTTTTATGTGTAAAATAAATGGGTTTTCATTCAAGCATAAACTAACAGTTATGATGACATAATCAGTAAATTATGCAAATTAGTCCTATCAAATGTTTAAACCTTAATTCAGTAATGGAGGTCAAAATCTACCCTTCATTATAACTAGAAAATTTTTGAGAAATATTTAAAATAATATATATATTAAATTTGCATGGAATTACTGTCAATACTTTAATGTGTTATGGATTCTGAAAGTTTTCAACATGTCATAGTTTTTCATTCATTTATTGGAAAATGTATTCAAAATTTGTAAGCCTACTCTGTGCTTTCTTGAAGCTATTATTTTCTTAATATTAATCCTCTATTGTACATTGTGACATACAGGTGACAAATGCTTCAATTCTATAGTTGGATGCTCATACTTCTAGGTAACATACCCATTTATAACTTATGAAAATATATTTCACAAAAGCTTTTTTTTGTGTGAAATTTTCCACCATATCTTATAATGCATGAAATAGTGGGTTAAAAACAGAAAATGAAACGTTTATGTCAGTGTTGATGATTACGTATTCCATGAAATAATATATAATTTCAATTGAACTGATCGGTATTATAATATGTATGTTACTTTTTTAAACTTTTGTAGAATTTGATCAAATATCAGAATGACTCGTCTTACTGCACCATTGCTGAGAAAACCAGGTAGAAGGCCAGCTATTCCTCCATTTCAGTTCCAGGAGATTCTCCCATTGGCATTAAAAAACAGAATTTCTGGTAAAAGTGGAGCAGATAATGGTAAGTAGACTTGTGGTCTCAATGTATTTTTAGCTTTTGGTCACAAAACACTTTCTGAATTGTTCACCAGATTACCCAGTTTGCTTATCATTAAAACATATTATAGTTTGGAATCCAGTTTTCACAATAATGATTAACTTTATTTCTCTTCTTCATTTTGTCCCTAAGATATAACCTGCTTTCAAAAAAAAAAGGTACAAAAACAGGGGAGGAGTGTGCAGCATTAAGAAACCTTTACTGATTCCCCTCTGCATTTTTCTATCTGGAGGATTTACTTTGATATACTGATAGTCTGTTCTTATTGAGTTGCTCTCATGCTGTTAATAAATATGTGACTTTGGATTCTAAATGCTCCTGATGCAATGCAGTGCATGTACCAGCTTACCGAGAATTCTCCATTCTCCAACATTTCATGTAACTTACTATGCATGCATCAAAATTTACATAAGCTCTGCTTTCCTGCCACAATTGAGATATTCTTGTTGACAATTGTGCTGTAATCATGGTTTGTTCTCATTCTTGCTGTGAATTCTGAAATTCAAATTAATATTGAAGCTAATACTTTGCGATCTCTATTTTATTCCATAATGATTCATTTACCTCTGTGCACATTTCTAGCTATAACTCACATGTCTATTTTTGAGGTTTTGCACATGCACTAGCCTTGACCTGTCTCTCCTTCAAGACATATTTTAACATGAACTGCACTTGTGCATGATCTAATCATCATGTGACAGTAGTTTTTCACCAATAGAAGGATGAAATATTGTTCTTGTGCAGTAGCTCCCCACGAGTACATGCACTCAAAATTTCATTGGCATTGTCTTTAACAGCCATGTTTTTTTTATGTTTAAACTTATTCAGTTTTGTGAGATTAACGCTACCTTTTCAGTGTTCACTTTTTTTTTGTTTTCTTTTAGCTTGTTTTAATTTCAGTTTATAGTTGCATCACCACCAAGTAACTATAAAACAAATTCTTGATCTGGAGAATTACTCGACCATAAGTTCTCAAGTGACAGTGAATAGTATTTTCATCTGAGGTTCTTGTGAAATTGTTGACATTGCTCTGCTATGTCTATAGCCAGTTGAGGCTTATTGACTGTTGAAGACATTACCAGCATAGTTCATGGTGTTGTGGGTTCTTTGCTGTCTTATTGCCTCATCTTCCTGTCCCTACATCAGAAGTGCATTCTTCTCTATCTATACCTGACCATGAGGGTGTTGACTTTTATCAGCATTTCTACCTCCTGAGTTTGCAATAGATTCCTATTTACCTTTTGAGGAAAATGTTACTCCACTAAATCTCTTTGTAGATTTGGTTACTCAGATTTGTTCTTTATCTTTATCCTAGATCTTTTAATTTTTCCCACCCCTTACTACATGACTCTTATGCTGAGGATTTCAAATGCCTCATTTTCCTCAACTTCAGGATCCCTTCGCTATTGCTTATGGCCATTCCACTTTTCCTTTGTTGGATTCCTAATCCCTTTTAACTACTTGGGGTGCTGACCTCCTGACTACAGTAATATTTTCTAGTGCTTACTTTTCTCATCTTTACCTTTTTCTTCCTCATCTCCTTTGTTACGTGTCCTATTTGAAGCCCTAGAGTGTGATCCTGATAGGATTTCTGAGGATCTACTGTTGGTCTTTTTCAATACATTGGCCAGGGTTTCATCTTCTGCTTTGGCCCTGCTTACATGGCTTCTTTGTTGTTGGGCTTCTGGGATGTGATACTTTTCTTTCTAACATTTGTCTTCCCCATTCTTATCTCCATGACATATATCTGGCTACTGTTTTTCATCCTAAGGTCTTCAGAGGTTTTCTTAACACCTTGGAGACTCAGGCCAAAGCTGCTTGACATCAATCCCCCCCTTTACTCCATGGTTTCTTGCCTCTCACATCCTTGTGAGTCCATTCCAGTTCCTCAACTCTGTGAACTCTCCACCTCTCTGTCTTTTCCCATTTCTTGTCTCTCTACTTCTTCTCACTGTTCCCCTCCCATTAGGTTGGCTGTCACATATACCATTGTTGGCTCCCTCCATCCAATCTTTGGGATTCATTTTGCATCTGATTGGGGTAATTCAGGTCTTTATACACAGCTTTTCTTTTTACTTCTTGTTTCTTCACCTTGTGTCAACTTTTCCTGTTCCTTTTTTCACTTGTTCTGATCTGTAGCTTCTTCTGCATCTCTAGGCTTAGACATGAGGGTTGTTTGCCCCTCCCCAGTGTTTTATTCTTTTGTTTTTCTTGTCCCCAAAAGGACTGGGGGTAACTGACCTTATGTTGTTGTCATTTATTCTCCCAACCACTGTTTGGTGGTTCCTCAACTGAGACATGGGAGCACTTGCTCACCATATCCACAGTATTGGATTTTAATTCCATTATTATGTAGATGATTGGCTCCTACCTACCACTTCTTAGGAGGCCTCCATTTCAGCCATATCACTTTTCTTGTAAGAGGTGGCTTGCTGGTCTAGTTTTACAAGTCGTTCCTGTCTCCAACTTGGTTGCGCTTAGTCTTCTACAATTCATCTACAAGACATGAAGCATCTAGTCACCTCGGCTTTTAACCTTTCCTGTACTTTCTTGAGATTCTATCTCTTTTAGGGACTCATGCCTATAGAGCATCTTATCTCTCTAGGTCAGGCTAACATGATTCTTCTTCAAAGGATTTTGAGGAACCAGTGGAACCTCTCTTGTGATCTTCTGTCCTCATTTTTGATGCTGCTGCCTTCTCTTCTTGAGTATCTGTCTTGGTAGCTGGATTTTACCAATACTATGGCTGGCATCCCACTGTTGCCATTGTCGGTATCTCCACCTCTTCACTTACACACCTCTTATGGGTTGAGACATGTCTACTGATGACTCCATGGGTTTGATCTCCTGTGGAGTGTACCTTTCACATCAGTTTTCTGGAATTCTCACCACCCCATCAGGCATGTTCCTATTTCCTCCTTAATCTTGTTTATAACTCTGACAATTCTATAATCATTTCCCATATTGTTCATCAGGTTAGTACTCATGCCAGGGACCTTTTCTTTCCCATATTGGAACTTTCTGTTTTAAGCTTATTCACATCAGGTTTATTTGACAGCCTGTCATATTTACAATCATGATCTGTTCCCAGTTGAGCATGCCAATGATTGATGTCTTTGCCACTCTTCTCAGTACCAAACTTCTCCTCTTTTAGTTGTGGTACCTCAACCAGCTGCTCTGGCTTCGATGACTTCAGCCAAAACTGGTCTTATCTCTTTCATATTTCTGTATGTGAAATTTATTTTAAATCCAAAAATATTAATTTAATGTTCTGCTAAGTAGCAATTAATTGACATGTATTATCATTGAATAAAACCATAAAAATATTGGATGCATTTTCTAATTTCAGTAAAGTTATTATATATGTTAAATGAGAAAATTTTGAATGTAAAATGTGTTATACAAGTTTTTTTTCAATTGATTTTTCTTGTGCCTGTTATGCAGAAGTTTGTTGCCTACCCGAGATGATGAATATGTTGAGCTGCTTTAGAGGTCATGATTTTGATCAGTCAAAATGTGGTAAAGAAATGCAAGCCTTTCAGACATGTTATGTCAATCATTTGGTGAGTGTGTAATAAACTTAGTAAAACACTTGTATTGTGATAAATATAAAATTGAGCTAGGCCATCTGTTAAAGCTGATTTGTATGGTCACAGAAAAAACTTGTGCAAGACGCTTTAGAGGTATAAATTAATTGTTAATTTTATTATTGCCTTTCTGTTTGCAGTTGCAGCATTTGTAAACTGTTGATTAATGTGATATTAGACCCATAGTGGTATAATTGTTGATAGATTAACCTTGTACTAAATAAAGCATTGGTAGTATACTTGTTGATATCTTCAGCAATTTTTTTTTTAAACTGATAGTGATACAATTGTTGGTAACTTCAACTTCTCCAAACTGTGGATAATGTTTTACTACACACATGGTAATATAGTTCATTGCTTCAGTGTATGTATTGTGCTAGACACCTACTAGTATAGTCATTACCTTCAGCTTCTGTGAATAGGTATTGTTAAAAGATAATTGTGAACATAAAAAAAAGGTTGGCAAGTTTTCTTCTTGTATGTATGTACACAGATTTAATAATACACGTACCTTACCTTCATATTATAAAAGTGGTAGTGGAATTGTTGTGCTTTTAAAGTTTATATAAATTCATATCATACAAATATTTGTTTAATCTAGCATTCTATTTTTATATAGCACCAATTTTGGATAGATGTCATGTAATTAAACTGGTATTTTAGATATTATTTTTATAAATAAAACAAAATTATAGTGGTGTTGATTAGTTTCTGTATGTGCAGTATTTCAAGTGTTTTGTTCTTTCTACAGAAAAACCTTCAAATAAAACGTAAAAAGGAAAGCCTTGGCCTGGTACCTGGATTGAATTACACAGAAATGTCCCCTACACAAGTTAATAGATTATTAAAGATTTATCCTTTACTAAAATAGAAGAAGAAATCTTTATTTAGAAACTTGAAATAAAAACCTTGAAAACTTAACAGACTCCTGAAGTTTGAACTTGTTTTATATTACTGTAGATTCAGGTACTCAGTTGTGAATTTTCATGGATCTTAGTGACAATAAAGTTTTAAGTTTTTAAAATGGTTCATTTCTTTGTATTTTTTTTATGCCAGTATAAAATGCACACATTGTATGTATTTGTAGTCTTTAAGAAAGTACATCATTAAAAGAGTTAAGTTGGCACAATAAAAATTTAGATTCCTGATTACTGAAAAACATTTTGTTTCAGTTTATTTAATCCTCTTTCTGTTTTATAAAAAAAAAGACATTCTGCTATCTGTTAACTATCATGTACATTTTGTAGTAGACACATAAGATAACTGAACATTAAATTTTATCAATATGCAGTCCACATTCTTGGTGTAATTGTACATTATATTAAGTTACAATTTGTCATTAACATCAGGTTAGGGAACTCAAGATAAATACAGAATGTATTGTTTAGAAATGTTATATAACTGAGTGTTTTTATTTATATTTTTCAGTAAGCACAGAGGAGATATGTAAGGCTTTAAGTTGCATTAAGACTACTTAAAGCTTTGTGCACCTTAAAAATTATTTGGATAATGTAACTGACTAATTATTTTGAGGTTTTGATATGACAGGTACAAATCTTCATCAAAACATTTTCCAATGAAATTGTAGGATTTGGAACCAATTGTATCTTTAAAAAAGTTTTTATGTTAAGTTTTATGTGCAGTAATAGTAAAATAAGTTAGTAAATTGGAAGAGAAACAGTTATCTATTTATTACTTGACATTAATTTTAGTCCTTAAGTTGAATGTCACTTGTGTTTTATCTAGTCATTCATTAAGAGTGACATTTCACATTGTTTTAACTACCACTTACAGTAAGATTGTAGCATCCCATCAATATTAGTAGTTTAAAGTGATGTCAGTTTTATAATTTCATAGGAAAATGACATAAGTCACACAGAGATTGAACTTAAATATTTTTATTTTAGCCTCTTCCACAAACAAGATGTAGCAGGAGAAATGTTTATTTCTCTTCTAACATATTCAACAGTTTTATCTTTCATGAAAGGCTGTTGCTACTGAACTCAGATCTAGAATTGCCTTTTAATTATATGTTTTTAAGTAAATGTGTTCTCTTTTCAGAGAACTTAATTCACTAATGACTTATAAACAAATGGGTAAAGTTGTTCACAAGACCTTATGTATATTAAGGCTAAATTATGGACATATTTACCCATTTGAGATGCTGTTCTAATGCCACAAAAACTTACTTTGCATACTCGAAATTAAAACTTACCACTTCTGTCTTTATTAAGCTTTTGACAACATAGTGAAGCAAGAAATGGAACAGTGAGAGTTTAGTTGACAGAAACATCAATCAAAAATCACATACACAAGTTTCATTTTACTTGATTTTCACAAACAAGGGCCACTATTAGTGATATTCTAATTAATTTTAACTTGAACATATATATATACTGGCTACTAATAATACTGCCACAACTTTCAACAGGAAAAAAAGCACACATAAACTTCTTTTAATTAAAACAACTTGCATAACAAATAAAGAAGTTAGAGGTAACAAAGAACAACTTGTATGCATGTATAATAATGGTTTTTTACATTATTGATAATAGATTTTAGCACCTATAATTTCAAACAAAAAGTTTTAAAATACAAATAACTAAGTGTTTTGAACACCCAATATATGTTGCTGTCATACTAATGAAAGTTTTACTTTCATATTGGTAAAAAATTAAAATAGCAAGTTTCAGAGTAATGTTTTGTAAGTGTAACATCAGCACCATTTAAGTACTTTTGCATATCTTTACAGTAAATACACATACAAACTTTCTCAAGCTAAATCATCCGATATCCATGTGTACTCATAAATTAAAATTTTCCTCAATTTTCATCTGTATTCCATACTTAACTAAGTACTGATAAGTTATTTCAAGCCTTAACACAAACATCATAGTATATTATTAAACAAACATTATAAAATTAAGATTTGACCTAGCAACATTGGGGTGGTTGCACTAATTAGGGATTTTTCCTTGTTTAACACACAGTCTGTTTGAGTAGCCATGTAATTAGTACCATATGACTGGTCAATTATCGAGCATGGGCCTTGCAGAAAGGACGTCCACCTTTGGCATAGAAACTTTGGCCTTCAAGATTCTTATGACAGATCTGAAAATAAAAAGAATAAGCCTTAAGTTTAATAACAAAGCAATGTTGTTCCTGTGGTAAGTATCAACCATCATTTGAAACACTCGGAGAACAACAGTAAATTGATATTTTAAGGGATTCAGTATATTTAAAGTTTATAAACTAAACTTGTATCTCAATCCTCCTGAATGAGCCTTTGTGAGTCCATGAAAGGTACCCAAGCAGATAAGACTTTTTAATTAGTCTCCATTGTTCCAGGAACCTTTATAAGACCATAAATCATACAACACTTTTATTAGCCTTCATATTTCAGGAATATCTTGGTCCTCCTGAATGAGGTTTTCTAAGAATGATTAAATTAGTGCCCACAGGTTTGTAAATATTTCAGTGCTCTTGTTTTTGTCTTCATTGATCTATGAGTAATGTTATATCCTCAAATTAATCTAAACAATGCTATAAATGATATAGCAGTCTTGTATTAAATTCGTGAGACAATCAGTTGTATTTCAATTAGTTTTTTTTCAGGTCAAAGATATTTTTATTCACTTGAATAAAGGTTCAGTTTGTTTTATGAAATCTAACAAAGACAAACAAAAAGAAGCAAAAAAAAAACATTTGCCAAAACCTAACAAGGAGGTGTAACTTAAAAGTCTAGAACAAGTGAAGAGAAAACAATCAAACCAGAACTTTCCAGGTACAAGTACTTGTACACTGAAGATAGTCTAAAAACAAGAAGGTATATGTTGTAAATTATTTTAAAAATTGTGTCTGGGTCAAGTGGTATAATTTGTCATTCAACAAAAACTTTCCGAACAGTTGCACTATCTCCATAGTCAAGCATTTCAAATCAACAAATTTTATAAAAGGAACACCCTATACTGGAAGAATAGTGATACTGATAAAGCCTGGAAAGCACACAATCAAGCCAAGGCTGAGTTCATGCAGATAAGACATGACCCAGCCTAGCCAGAGGAGGCAAGGAATGGAGCATGTGCTTTCTACAACTGATCAGCTCCTGAAGCACAAGACATGAAATGGAATGAATTATGCAGCAAGGCCAATCTCACAAGTACTTCATTCTGGTGCTTCAACAAGAAACAAGGTTGCATCTGACACAAAAGCATTTCAATGTCAGTTTCTTATGATGATAACAGTATCCCATTACATACAGATTAAAATCAAGGTAAGGCCCTCATGCACAGATACACTAACCAATGTGATCATGATGACAAGCAGGAGGGACTCAAGTTGTAGAAATCCCTATATGAGCTACAACTACATGCAAATGTGGAAGCCATCTTTAGTTTGGCCAAGTATACATCTTAAAATGGAGCTCCACATCTGGATGTGTAAAACTTTCCACCTTTTAGAAGCTTGTGAAAACTAACCTGATCAAGTTACTTTTGGCATATCAATGTAGCTGGGCAACAAATAGCATCCCTGAAATATGGATTGATGCCTTTATAAAATCCTTACTCAATCCCATGAAGGATGTTTCTTGTCTTAAAGGCCATTAAGTCATAAAATATGGTTGCAAAGATTCTAGAGAAGACTGTGGCTTGAAGTCTTGCCTATCAAATTGAACCCCAACTAGTCTTCATAACATGGTTATTGCAGTGGAAGTGAAACCTGGACTAATACTTATACATGGGAAGGCTATGAAGCTGATCAGAACATCTTGGCTGTAGCTTTAGATCTTGGAAATGCACATAATAGAGTTCAATGCCCATTCTTGTTAACGAAATGTTCAGAATAGGCATCCATGTAACAGGTTAGATGGGTTTTAGCTCCACTAACTATTGGATGAAGCACAGAAGCTGGCCACCAGACTGGATTACTATCAACATTGGTCTACCTCAAGGATCACTACTCTCCCCAATCCTTTTCAGTATCTACACCATCTGTCTTACCCACCTTGAGAGCCTAACCAGATGCCCTGTGCTAACTTTTGTTGGTGATATTCTGGTACAGAGCAGAGCCTTTAGCAAAGATGAAATCAAAAGCAAGATGTAACCATCCTTTAGCAGTGTGAGTAAATGGTGCGATGACACAGGAATGGTCGTCAATCTTGCCAAAGCCACAGCCATGTTCTACATACTCAACAATAGACATCCTTTGTAGGCACTGCTATCCTTCTGGAAGAAACAGTGAAGTACCTAGAGCTAACATTTGACAAACAACTTCACCAGCAACATTAAAATCATGATAACTAGAGCTACTCTTGTCTATTCCATCCTGGATTATGCACTGTTGATGGTCAGTATGAGTGCTACACGACTAGAAAGACTAAAAAGATATAAAGCAACTGTTAAAGACTGGTCTTCGGATGTACATCAGCCACTCCCATCAAAACCTTATTACATCTTGCAAGTCTCAGCAGCACTGCAGACCATCAGTGCTTACAAGCAATTTTCTTCACTAGGGTCTTGCAGTGTAAAGACCATTCATTCCATCAACAAGCCAGTGACTGCCCTTTTCAGTTGGAACATTCTATTCATAATGACCCCATATATACCAACCAAGCAGGAAATTGCCTAAAAGGCACATCAGGAGACAGTGATTGGTATAAAAGTGCTAAACAGCCACCACTGAGCTAGTTTGTCACCACTAGCTTTCAGATATCCTCTTGTGGCATAAACACTTGTTGCCGCTGAAATCTGTGGAAATCAGTCTGGAAGAAAAATGTTCAGATTGGGCAGAGGTTAAAGTAGAAAAATTCTCTCAGCACCTATTTAAACACCATGATGGACTGTTACATATCATCGTAACCACAGATTGTTCCTACAACAAGGATAGAAAGAGAGTTGGTTAGGCATTTTTAATAAGGCTGGTAGAGTATTCAAACAGCACAAGGATGGAGCTGGAGGTCTTAAAACAGGCTTTCCTCTGGATTTTTGAAAGTAATAAACCACAAGGAGATAGTGCAACCAATAAAATATTATAACTGATTCACTGGCAGCACTGATTGAAATTCAGATGGTTGGATGTCAGAAAACAAAGCAACTGCATGGTAAGACCATCACCTAGATGTATGTGCTAGGTCATACAGGGGTAAAACTAAACAATAAAGCTGAAAAACTTGCAAGTGAAGCACTTTACTAAATCTAATGAAACTCTACTGGAAGGATAGACCTCCCCTGTACTAGTAAGGTAAAAATGGCAACCATGGAAGGTCTTCAACTTTTAAAGGGAATAAGACTGCTGGAAAACAAAGTATTGTATAGAGTAGCTAGGAAATGTAAAAACTGAAATGGGTAATCAAGAGGACAGTAAGTTTTTGCAGTTCCCATAGTAACAAATACTTATACATTAAAATGAAACATTTCATAAAACATTTAACTTGGTAATATATATTTATAAACACTTACAGAACACTTGAAGCACTGGGAGTGGTAATTATTGTTTAGAGCCTCTACCCAGCGATCCCCAGCCTCAATGGGATATCCACAACCCACACATTTGGTGGTAAATAGCTCATTCCAGTCTGAAAATTCAAAAAACGAGAAAAAAAGTTGAATGTATAGACTGAAGATAATTTCACTATAAAAGATAAAAAAATATATTACAAACATTTAAACTAGACAATCCTAAGTAAAAATCAAGCAAATTCAATTCATTTTCAAATTTATGAAACAAATATTAGACTTGAACTTTGATGATAAAATTTCAAACTGACCTCTGAGTATTTCTAACTCTTTTTCACTGACATTTTATAGATAAACAGTTATCCTAGTGGCAGGATTATTTTTAGATACATAATAAAAACAATGAAACATAAGTTGCGTCAGCGAGGTCACGTGACTAGTATCATGCCACCTCTTTCTAGAAATATCCTGTTCCTTCAAGAATGCCCTAGCATTTACTAGATATGTGTTAGTCTTGTATATATAAGACGTTCACAACATAACGGGACGCATACATTCAATTACTCATTACACTGTTACTTAATTTCAACAGTCGCTCTATAACAAACACTATAATTCACGTCTCACGTGGCCAACAATATTTTGTCCGTATCGTAAAGTTGTATTCGGAAAGAATAAACCAGTTTTATCTAAGAAAGGACTTGTGTCCCTAAAGTTTCGTCGGAACGAATTTACGGAAAATTAACTAACGACTGGAGCCGTAACACATATTTTAATATTTCATTATTTATAATGAAATGTGAAACTGGCAAACTTTGGAAAGTTTAAAGGGGAATACCCTTTCTCCAGAGTTGTGTGGTTAATATCAGACTTTTCATGACTAAAACAAAAGTTATGCAGTGTGTCCCATATATGTGCAGTGAAAGAATTAAATAAAGTACTTGATTTTACAGTTTTATTGTGCTAATTCAACGTTTCAGAAAATTTAGCTTGTTATGAAGAAAATGAATTGTAGCTAAAAATTGATCTATCTTTTTTTTTTATGAACTCAACGATTTTTTAAAGTGAATACTCTACCTTTCTCACAATATGGCAATCCATCTTCCAGGTAAAAAGAGCTGTTGCCAAAAGGTTGCTTGCAGTAGTTACACACAAAACAGTCAGGGTGCCACTGCTTGTCAAGGGCATTGAGGCAATCCTTGAACAAAATTGAGAAATTAATTACCTTGCAATAGTTTCTAAAACACGTGTTCCAACTGTTAAGGCATTCATGTAAGATTAAAATGGGTGTAATATATTTCATATTAAAAAAATCTGGTGACAGAATTCGAATATTCTTACCTAAATTATGACATACCCAAGAATGTTACATAAAATTTCTCAAATTGTACAAAGCATGAAAATATTAAAATTTTTTGATTTGATAAGCATTGAAATTTACAATTTATCTATATACCCTATGTTTCAAGTTTAGTTTGTTGTTGTGAACCTTTGAAATGATAATAAGAATACTTAAAGTACAGGAAAAATGACAAATACAACAGTGAAATATTTTAACTTGGTATTTGTAATTCATTTACAGAAAAGCATACAATAAAAGTAAAGCTTATTCATAAAATTATATAATTAAAGAGAAAATAAAAGTATTTATTTTTTGTAAAATATTTACCATAAAATGACATTAGAAGTCCATCTTCACTCTATTAAACATTCTTTCTAGCATATGAGAGTATAATAAAACTGTATCATCATATACAATATTCTTTCTAGTACATGATAATATAAGAAACATTATTTTTCTATTAAACTTTCTAGTATATAAGAATAGAATAATCATGTAGTATATTAATAAACTAAAAATCTTAAATGTAAGTTAATGAATTCTGTAATCAGATCTATGCTTCAAACATTAATTTTTCATGAATATGTGGCATTAAAAATATTTTGTCCTTGTTTATTAGAAATTTACCCCTTTAATCCGGTTGCCACATTTAGCACAAGCAGGAGCCAGGTATGCTTCATAGCATAATTCACAGTAAAGCTGGCCCTGTTCTTCAACAAAGCCCACATCTTGCAGGTGACGGTGACACTGGGCATTGGAGCAGTGAAAGTGTTCAGGACACCAGGTCTTTCCCAAAGCAGTTACAAAGGGACCTCTGGGGGTGAAAGAGAACCAAAAAAGTGTGAAACACACACATGCACACTGACATCTTAACAGAGAAAATTCTAGTAAAGCAAAAGACACAAGTAGGAGTATAATGCATACCTGTACAGTTCACCAGTTATAAAAGTAAAAATCTAATCTCTGCCACACATTTTACCAGACAAGTACAATATCAGGATGTTTATATATTTTTCCAACTACTCCAAGAATTTTGCACACAACAGTACATCTTAAAACAAGATTATTCAGTTCTGTTTTGAAAGCTAATGAAGCATAAAAATGCTGCATAATGCTATTAATGGTCCTTCTACATATTTATTTACTATGGCCACTTATATTAAACACAAGATTTTCATTAAAGTAGCACAGTGAACTAATGCAAAGTGATTGTAAAAATGTCTACTATTTCTCAAGTATGTTCAAAATGTGCTAAAGTTTAAATCACACAGTTTGCTTTCTTTATCAATTGAGTGGTCTGTTTTAATCAATAATTTCATCAACACTTCTTGTTTTTAAAATTATAAATTTTTCTATGCACCACTCCTGATGCCCCCCCCCCTGTGGATCAGTGGTAAGCTTGAGGACTTATGATGCTAAAAAATTGGGTTTAAATACCTGTGGTGGGCAGAACATAGCTCATTGTGTAACTTTGCACTTAACAATAAACAAACCTCTCCTGCTATCTATTTTTATTTTTGATGGAGAAGAGACCACTCTTTAAAAGTTCTTAAGCTTTTGTTATCATGTAAAACTGTTGTCATTATGCTGTTAAGACTATCAAGAATTTTTTTCATTCTGAGATTGGGATGTAAAATGTATTATAATAATACTCAGTTTTGTCTGTCCTGAAAATGCGCACACACCTTACTATTTAAATGCATATGTGCACGCACTTAAATTTAATGGATGTAAACAAAAGGCAGATATAAATATACTTTAACAGGCATTTTGTACAACAACATATCAAAAGCTTACCAAAGTTTTTAAAAAGGTCTAACATTAGTTGTAGAATAAAATTATAAGTTTATTTATTGATAGTATTAAGCATGGTAAAGTTTAGCCCTAACTAAACTAAAGCAAAAAATTGACACAAGTTACAGTGTTAATTTATCTCTTTATTGAATATATGCTGTACTTAACAAAGGCTTAACTCATGTTAGGCTTAAGACAAGTGGATTTATATATTTTGGTATCTGCGATTAGAATTCTTTTGTATTATTCTAGAAATCCTGTATTTAAGGAAATGCTGTTGCAGTAAAGATACTAATTTGACCACAAATGTTTTGCAGGTCTCTGCTAGAATAATATTATTTTTCAGTAAACTTTTATATAGAAGGAAGAAACTGTCACAATGCTTAACTATATTTAGTAGATATTTGTTGAAAGTTTCTTTTGTTTATTTGAAGTTAAACACAAAGCTACACAATGGGCTATCTGTGCTCCATCCACCATGAGTATCACAACCCAGTTTCTAGTGCTGTAAGTTCACAGATATACTGTGCCTCTGGGGAGCTTGTTGAAAGAATCAGAGGTTTTGAATTTTGAAATAATCATATTTTCCATTATAAAAATAAATCAAAGTTCAATATTAATTTAAATCAGAATTTAGTATTTTTATGTAAAACATGATTGATCTATCGCTCTTCTTCAAGTTTATGTTTATATACTGTTGCTGTATTTAGCTCAAAGTCTAAGTTTGGGTGCTAAATAAGGCTATTATTCACAGAAGACCCATATCTTAAGAGTGCCATCTTATTTATTATATTACAATAAATTCAAACCTGGTGGATTTAATAAAATTTGATGAGTTTGAAGGAATGTAAGTAATGAATACACAAATATTTTCAAGAAATTCAATGACAGGCAAAATATTCAGAAATGTAGAGGTATAGGAAAAGAACTGTCAGTGATATAGAATGAGGTGTTGTAGATCTACTCTTCCACAATACAACAGTTTTGTTCTTCATAGATTTTATTAATATGCACCATACACCCAGAATATTAATAACAAAAGTGTAAACAATAACAAATGAAACATTTTATATAAAAAATTACCAAAATTTTATTCTAAGAATAACACTTTATAGACATAAATACACCCTTTCCATGCATATGAAGTTGTGCTACAGAAAATTAATATCCAACTATAATAAAAGTTGTTACACAAACCTAAGTTTGAGGTGCAAGGTGAGACTTTTACATAAGCAGGTCATTATATCTTTAAAGGGTCCAAAAGGTCAAAAATGATTAAGCATTGTGCTGCAGCTGTTCCCAAGTAATCCAAATCAGTGGTTCTCAAACATAATGTAACAATGAATTGTTTTAATACTCATCACTAGATGCTAGAACTTAAAGTAACAATGAATTGTTTTAATACTCATCACTAGATGCTAGAACTTAAAGTAACAATGAATTGTTTTAATACTCATCACTAGATGCTAGAACTTAAAGTAACAATGAATTGTTTTAATACTCATCACTAGATGCTAGGACTTAATGTAACAATGAATTGTTTTAATACTAATCACTAGATGTTATTACTCATGAAAGTCATAATTACATAAATGAAAGCTGCCATACCTAATAGGAGTGCCACACACAGCGCAAATAGGGATGCGTGTTCCTGGGGAGGCCTGAGGCTTCAGTTGACCCCGTCCACGACGAGGGGCTGGACGAGAACCTGATCCTGGTAGTCCACCTAAAATGGATCCCAAGGGGGATGATGACCATGCAGGGCTGCCAGAGAGTGTAGAAGTCTGAGCAGGAGGATGGGGTTTAGGGGCAACAATTGGAGGACTTTTAGGAGAAAAAGTAGGAGGTGGTTGGGTGCTAGTGGGAGTAGTGGGAGTCTTCCAGGAGGGAGCTTGTATCTGAGTGCCTGGAGATTTAGGTGTAGTGGGAGGAGGTACAGTGGAAGCTGAAGGGGGTTTCCAGGTGGAAGCAGGAGCCTGAGGAGCTGAAAACTGAGTGGCTCCTTTTCCTTTAGTGAATGCAGCAGATGCATGGCTTACATGTTGTGTACCGGGAGGAGGGCGATAAGATGGGATTGAAGGAGTAGCATTTGATTCTATAGTGGGCTCATAAGTCTGCACAGGCTGTTTGGGAGGTGGCCAAACAAACTTAGCGCCACCTGGGAAGAGGTATAAACAGAATAAGAAAAAGATGAAATAACAGGGAAAAAAAGAAGTAAAGGTTATATTTGGATAGAAAAAGCAGATTATTGTTTATTTGGTCATTACCAAAAATTGTATTTAATTTATCATATAATATATTAAAACTTTAATATTCTGAACTCATGTTTTATTTGTAGTATTACCATTAGCCAAAGAGAGACTTTTTCTTGGTACTGATTGAAATGAACAAGATTTCATAAGCTTGTAAACAGTTGAAGTTAAACTGCTGAAAACTATTTATTATGTATTATCATGCTGTTATCTTCTAAATCTAATGTCAGCTATTTTATTAGATTGTTGTTCAATACTGACAAAAACTGTACAAGTATAGTAAGGTGTATAATAATTTTCATCCAAATACATACATTTTTTGTGAAGAAAGTTATGTTTCACATAATTCTGAAGTGTGACTTGAAGCAAACTATCAAAATGTACTATTTATCTTTCAAAATGTTGTAATTGTTATTAAATTATAAATAGTACATTAAATTACAAATAAGTGCATTTATTGGAGCTTAAAATAATGAGACATGAATAAAAATGCAACATAGATGTGGCAATAAAGTTCATAACCTTTCAGAATAAGGAATATCATTTTGTAGGAGTGGGGTAGGAATAATGGCACAGCTCATGCATGGTCCTCAAAACAGACTGGAAATTTATGTGATCTGCAGCAAAAGTCATCAAACTCAACCAACAAAACATAAAAAAATAAATAAAATGAATACAACAAAGCAAAATAATCAAATTGCCAAAATTATACCAAAACAATAGTAGTAGTATTAGTGTTATACTATAAAATCAAACTGATTAAGTAGGACTAGAGAAACAAAATATAAAATAATGATATAACATGGCACTCAAACAAAAATTGTTACTGCTAGATAAGTATAAATAACATGATCTTTAACATCACCACGCATTGACTAAGAACATTGCTAGAAAATTATACAAGCAAGTCAATTGAAGAATTGTTATATACCTATTTAATAACTTATTTTGTATGAGAACTTCAAACATATACAGTATTTTTTAAACTTTATAAGCATGACTACAATTCCCATAGCTCTATTTTGTCAGCGATTAACCATTTGTTTCTGCCTGATATTTAGAAGTTTTCCCACTGACAAACACAACTTGAAATAGTACAAGAAGGTTAAATAAAGTTAGCTCTTATGTCAACATCTAAGTTTTCACTTGTTTAAAAACAACATGACTGAGCAGAGAGAGAAATGCTTTAAACTAACAAATTCTCAAGTGACCTTGAATTATATCACAGAAAAATATTAAATTATCAACATGATATCTATGGTAAATTTTAAAGTATTTTCAATTATTAACAAGGAAGAACAGTTTTATAAAATATTTCAACTGAGATTAAGTTGATACTTGAAACCATCTGTACTTGGTGAAACTCCATAATTACAGAATTGAAGAAACATAAAACAATTGTACATTTCACAGATACAAATATGACCATGGTTTTGCCAGTACCTGATGATGCCTTTACTGGTGAAACCATGGTCATAATAAATGATGTAATTGTGAAACGTACAGTTGTCTTGTTTTTACTCAATTCTGTCAGAATAAGTTGTTGACTGTGAATGAGTGATGAATTGATGATAATATGATTTTATTCTGAACAACTCATAATACAACTAAATGTAATCTAATAACACTGTTATGAAGACTACAGTATAATAATATGGTTGCCCTGGGCTTGGCCAAGTAATGATCAAACATTTATTGTGAACCTAGTCACTACTTGATAATATGTTTACAATGGCTATTCTTGACTTAATAATAATAATATAATGTTTACTGTGACCTAATTTTGGTCTGATTATTATATGCATATTTTGAAATCATTATGACTGATAATAACTGTTTGCTGTGACCCAGTCTTGACCTGATAATTATGTGCATATTGTGGCCTCATTATAGCTTTATAATAATGCATTTACTTAACTGTGTTTACTGAAAATTCCTTTGTACAAATTTTTAACTAATAATATGATCTTTGTGGTAACCTAGTCATGACTAAAAATGACCTAGATATAACCTGATTATGATAAACTTGCTTTGATTTAGTCTTTAAGAAATATTTTTTTACTGTGAATAAATCAATATGGATTATATGTGCTATGAACTAATCCTTACCTTTATATCAGTGATGATAACTACTACATACTACACGTGGCATGATCATTATTACTAATTTACAGCTGTATTTTTTTTTCATTTTGAACTGTATAAAATAAGAATTCCCAGCACTAAAACATAATAGTAATGGTGAATGCAGTTCCCATAAAATTTAGTCAATTTTCATAAGATGCCTCACATATTGGGTACATTTGATTTCAGTGATGATTATCTAATTAAGGCCATGAGTTAGATCCTTGGTGTTATGTACCATTTCAAACATATATTGGAACAAGTGCATATTTTTAATTTCATTTTCTATCGTTAGTGCATGCTTTTAATCAATCAGTTGTAATGTATTTGTTAAGTATTAAACAACTACAACACCATCCAAGTCAGTGAAAATAATTGTACAAGGGTAGTTATTAGGGTTCAAATGTTAAGGATTCACAGTAAATGGATATACAAAGAATAATCCAAGCATGCAAAAATCAAAGTATCACAAAGTCATAGTAAGATAATTATCACCATTAATTCCAATGATATACTACAAATTAATTTTTTATATTTAGCCCTAGTAAAGATTTATTGACACTGGTAACAGACCTGGAGTAGGATGATGAGCATCAACAACTGGTGCAGTTTGAGGATGAGTAAACTGAGTAGTTGCTGGAGCCAGAGCTGGTGCAGGAACTGGTGCCTTAGTGGGCTGGAGAAATTGTACAAAAGGCAGTAGTGTGACAGCCTTACAAAGTGATTAAGTTATATATTTATGTTTTTTTTTTAATTAATTGTTTAAAGAAATATTTGCTCAAAAGTAAAAGGAAGTGTCTGAGAAGATACATTACTTGTGTTTAGAAACAAACTGAAGTTAATAACACAAAAACAAGCACACATACCTATGTGATATTCATAAAACTCATGTCATTGTAACAGCAGTTATAATATTTATAACTTGAGTAACATTTGCTTAGTAACTATACAAACACTATAAAATATTCACAGAATGTCTAGTCTAACATGTTCTTATTTTGTGAAATTTCTACGTTGGTGATCAACATGTTTTTAAAAATACATACACATTTACCTTTAGGATATTAGCTAAATTATCGAAATAAGCTGTTCATCCATTTAGGATCCTAGCATATAAATATATATTGTTGCGTCAGCGAGTCACAT